CCCAAGCTAGCACTAATGCCATGCCCAAGCTAGCACTAATGCCATGCCCAAGCTAGCACTAATACCATGCCCAAGCTAGCACTAATGCCATGCCCAGCTAGCACTAATGCCATGCCCAAGCTAGCACTAATGCTATGCCCAAGCTAGCACTAATGCCATGCCCAAGCTAGCACTAATGCCATGCCCAGCTAGCACTAATGCCATGCCCAAGCTAGCACTAATGCCATGCCCAAGCTAGCACTAATGCCATGCCCAAGCTAGCACTAATGCCATGCCCAGCTAGCACTAATGCCACGCCCAAGCTAGCACTAATGCCATGCCCAAGCTAGCACTAATGCCATGCCCAAGCTAGCACTAATGCCATGCCCAAGCTAGTACTAATGCCATGCCCAAGCTAGCACTAATGTCATGCCCAGCTAGCACTAATGCCATGCCCAAGCTAGCACTAATGTCATGCCCAGCTAGCACTAATGCCATGCCCAAGCTAGCACTAATGCCATGCCCAAGCTAGCACTAATGCCATGCCCAAGCTAGCACTAATGCCATGCCCAAGCTAGCACTAATGCCATGCCCAAGCTAGCACTAATGTCATGCCCAGCTAGCACTAATGCCATGCCCAAGCTAGCACTAATGCCATGCCCAAGCTAGCACTAATGCCATGCCCAAGCTAGCACTAATGCCATGCCCAAGCTAGCACTAATGTCATGCCCAGCTAGCACTAATGATATGCCCAAGCTAGCACTAATGCCATGCCCAAGCTAGCACTAATGTCATGCCCAGCTAGCACTAATGCCATGCCCAAGCTAGCACTAATGCCATGCCCAAGCTAGCACTAATGTCATGCCCAGCTAGCACTAATGCCATGCCCAGCTAGCACTAATGCCATACCCAAGCTAGCACTAATGCCATGCCCAAGCTAGCACTAATGCCATGCCCAAGCTAGCACTAATGCCATGCCCAAGCTAGCACAAATGCCATGCCCAAGCTAGCACTAATGCCATGCCCAAGCTAGCACTAATGCCATGCCCAAGCTAGCACTAATGGCATGCCCAAGCTAGCACTAATGGCATGCCCAAGCTAGCACTAATGCCACGCCCAAGCTAGCACTAATGGCATGCCCAAGCTAGCACTAATGCCATGCCCAAGCTAGCACTAATGCCATGAACTATCAAGCCAAATTATTGATGAAGCATTCTGGCATATACTAATAAGCTATGACGTATCAATGTTTATGAAAGCAAAATTAAGCAGTAAAACCACAGCAGGGTGAAAAAAACTGAGTCCATACAGACAGAGCAACTGATCACATCAAAAGTGATTATCAGAACCTGGGAAACACTGACCACAAAACCTGACAGGTTTTTATCGTCTAACAGGACAGAGTAAACCTGAAGAAAATCAATTTTTGTGGAAGTTAATTTTACAAGTAGGATGTATGCAACATGCATGAACAAATTCAAATAGTTTCTCCTAATGGAGGCTGATCTATGTAAAGTAACATGAATGAATTTCAATTCTTCCACTTTAAAGGACAAGTAATCAAAGGCCAACAAGGATTCCAACAAACTTTATTTTCAAAAAGTCACAAATTGGGCACGCAGGCCCACCACATATTCAGCCCTTCCAACAACTCATCTTTCATACACCAGACCAGACGTCTGAAATCCTAGTTTACGGCCCACAGTAGATTAAGCATATGGCCAGAGATCACTGAAAAAGAAACCACAAGACCATGGAACCATGTAAAGTCCTGTTGATCTAACCTGCTTCCATCGACTCCCCCAGTCCCAAACACAAGAGTGGCTCCCCCATAAATCCCAACCGTAATCAGATGTGTTCTTTCACAATCTACACAAGGATATGCTAAAGGAATCTGGCTTTCCCCAAGTTACTATTTTTGCCATCCATTTTGTCTGTTGGAAAGTCTTGACTCAAGTTTCGAAGCAGTTATTTCTTCATGTGGATATCTGCACGAGGTCACCTAGGAGCTCAGGCCTACTGTCCAAGTCTACAGGAGAGTTTTCCTGAACTCAGCGATTTAATAACCAAGTATGGTGAAGAATTTTCCATAACTCAGCGATTTAATACCCAAGTTTGGCGAAGAATTTTCCATAACTCAGCGATTTACTGTCCAAGTCTGGAGGAGAATTTTCCATAACTCAGCGATTTATTGCCCAAGTCTGGAGGAGAATTTTCCATAACTCAGCGATTTATTGCCCAAGTCTGGAGGAGAATTTTCCATAACTCAGTGATTTATTGCCCAAGTCTGGCGGAGAATTTTCCATAACTCAGCGATTTATTGCCCAAGTCTGGAGGAGAATTTTCCATAACTCAGCGATTTATTGCCCAAGTCTGGAGGAGAATTTTCCATAACTCAGTGATTTATTGCCCAAGTCTGGCAGAGAATTTTCCATAACTCTGGGAGTGTAGCCAAAGTGTGGTGGCCATGTTCTCCAGAACTTGTAAGTATCTGAACTCCTGAATTCCTACTGAGGCACAAGCAGTAGACTTGAGTTCACAAACGGGTTGCATTATCTGGCATAGATGAGATGGACATTCAGCAACTTCAAAAACAGATTCCAGATATCCTCCTACAGGGTCTCCGATTCTGTCTTGTCAATGTTTTCTGCAGTCTTTCAGCAAACAGCTGAGTCTCACCACATAAACAGTATAAAAGTTGGATGAAAAAAGATTTTAAAATTTATAAAATCCTCGTTCTTACCTATAACAAACCACATTTTTCTAGACTCTACACACAAAGTGACCCATTGCACACCATCACACATTCTTTACAAACATCTTATCATCAACACATTAACATACATGCCACACATAGTCACTAACTTCTATTTCACATATAAACTTCACAATATCATGCAGACTAAACACCCTTATCACTGTGTACATGTGAGCACACACCAATACACGCATGCTCACACACAGATATGTTGGTTTCTACCATATAATCAGGTCACCCAACATAATATATATTAGTATCATACAAGCTGCCATATAGTCAGTTTTATACACAGTATTATCCCCTCCCCCCTCTCCACCTCTTTTTACATAACCAGCCACACACATAGATGATTTTGAAACGTCCACTGTTGCTACAAAGACCACCATTTCATCCACCTCATCTTCTGGGAAGCAGCTTTACTGGCATCAACTGTTCAATCACTTAATCTCCATCAACTGTTCAATCACTCAATCTCCATCAACTGTTTAATCACTCAATCTCCATCAACTGTTCAATCACTCAATCTCCATCAACTGTTTAATCACTCAATCTCCATCAACTGTTCAATCACTCAATCTCCATCAACTGTTCAATCACTCAATCTCCATCAACTGTTCAATCACTCAATCTCCATCAACTGTTCAATCACTCAATCGCCATCAACTGTTCAATCACTCAATCTCCATCAACTGTTCAATCACTCAATCTCCATCAACTGTTCAATCACTCAATCTCCATCAACTGTTCAATCACTCAATCTCCATCAACTGTTGCTCTCACACACAGCTCTCATGATCACCAATCTAGCCACTAAATAACAAGACTGCACAAGACCTATTTACCCCCATGCTCCACAGAGAACTCAGAATGTACATAACAATTGTATAAAGTTAAAAACAGTACATCTGACATAGAAACAATATTATAAATACATGGAAAAGAAATGACTCGGCCGCTTCAATTCAAACAGTTTCTTCACAAGTGTTTGGTGATGCACTGTGGCCAAATGCCTTATGCTGCACAAATTATCACTCAAAGAAATCCATTCAAATTGCCATGAAGCTTTCACAGATGTCAAATATCATCCCACTCCCTCAACCACAATGTCACAAAGCTAATCCTGTAACCTCTTCTTCTTTCCATCCCTCACTCACACTCACACCTCCACACTTTGTGGCTGATGACATTTACTTATCATTATACTGTAGCTTACCCAAGCTCAATGAGACACTGTAACTTACCATAGCTCAATGAGACACTGTAACTGACCCCAGCTCAATGAGACACTGTAAATGACCCCAGCTCAATGAGACACTGTAACTGACCCCAGCTCAATGAGACACCTTAACTGACCCCAGCTCAATGAGACACTGTAACTGACCCCAGCTCAATAAGACATTTTGATGTGGTCAGCTTCAGTCTTTGTTTTGTCCTGGACTGTATATGTCTACTGGCTTGAGCAATACAAATCACATTTAATTGAGCATATTTCCTCAGCTGATTGTTTATTGTTTATTTCTACAAGATGGCGGCCAGTTGGTCATCTACACGACGGTGGTCAGTTCCTCTTCTTGTTCACTTCTTTTTTAAAAACTTTGAGTGTGGAGAGAGATATAAGGTTCTGCTTCTTGCTGTCCCAGTCACCTTGACCACAAACACATTGTGCTCTTGTAAAGCCTCTCTCAAACTATCTTTTCATCTTTTTCTTGGTCTACCTCATGCTCTAGGTCCCTCTCCTCTTTTGGTGTATGCCTTGTATGGTATAGCGTTGTAAGGCATTCTCTTTGAGTGGCCAAACCATTTGATCTGCTGTTTTTGAATGTAATTTAGAATTGGTTCTGTGCCAGCTTGTTCTTTTATGACCTCATTTTTTATTTAATCTCTTGTGGTTACTCCTGCAGTCGTTCTCATGACAACTCTTGGTCAGTTAGTCACCCTCTTAAATTTAGCTTCTCAATAATTCAAAGCCTCATCTTTACCATACTCACAATCCTAAGTTTAACCCGTTCTATCTCTTATTTTAAGTCTAACACAAATTATAACTTTATCCTCAAGCGTATCCTTAACCTAAATCTCTCAACAAATTATTTGCTCCAATCACCTCAGTTCGACTAGTTTGGGTTCTGCCCACAATTCATTCTTCCAATGCCATTCTGACTACAGCATTCTTATATTCATGTCACAAACCACTTTTGCGGCCTTCAGATGCAACCTTCTCTTATTAATGGTGGTCAAGTTTGACTAAAACCAGAAGTATACTCTATGGGTTATTGTCAGAGCTGGAGTCATCAGAAAGAGGGTTTGGGTCCCCTCTGACGCGACATCTATGAACGATCGCCTTTTCGTAGGCTTTTTTGACAGCATTTCGGACATTAGGCTTCTTGTTCTCCATCAGCTTGGACTTGTCCAGGTCAGAGTTGACTCCGAGTGGCTCTAATTTGCTGCGGGGCAGCCACTGCCTGAAAACAAACAACAACATTCACGGAGGAGAGGCTTGAGGTCATCACAATCACAACTTTAAACTAAACAAACAACAACAACATTCATGGTGGAGAAGCTTGAGGTCATCACAATCACAACTTCAACCTAAACAAACAACAACATTCATGGTGGAGAAGCTTGAGGTCATCACAATCACAACTTTAACATAAACAAACAACAACATTCATGATGGAGAAGCTTGAGGTGATCACAATCACAACTTTAACCTAAACAAACAACAACATTCATGGTGAAGAAGCTTGAGGTGATCACAATCACAACTTCAAACCAAACAAATATTTGAGACACCAACAAGGTCAGAGATAAACAGATAAACTGCCACAATGTTTCAGCTCCTTCAGTATTAAGGAGATCACAATATGTTCCTCGGTTACTCTGTAAATGTTCACCCCTTTCGGTATTTCTTCCACTCCGTGTTAGTCCACCTTCTAGTATTTGTGTATTCCCATGTTAGTCCACCTTCTAGTATTTGTGTATGTCCCATGTTAGCCCACCTTCTAGTATGTGTGTATGTCCTATGTTAGCCCACCTTCTAGTATTTGTGTTTGTCCCATGTTAGTCCACCTTCTAGTATTTGTGTATTCCCATGTTAGTCCACCTTCTAGTATTTGTGTATGTCCCATGTTGGTCCACCTTCTAGTATTTGTGTTTGTCCCATGTTAGTCCACCTTCTAGTATTTGTGTATGTCCCATGTTGGTCCACCTTCTAGTATTTGTGTTTGTCCCATGTTAGTCCACCTTCTAGTATTTGTGTATTCCCATGTTAGTCCACCTTCTAGTATTTGTGTATGTCCCATGTTAGTCCACCTTCTAGTATTTGTGTATGTCCCATGTTAGTCCACCTTCTAGTATTTGTGTATGTCCCATGTTCGTCCACCTTCTAGTATTTGTGTATGTCCCATGTTCGTCCACCTTCTAGTATGTGTGTATGTCCCATGTTAGTCCACCTTCTAGTATGTGTGTATGTCCCATGTTATTTTATAATTCTGAACCATCTGTTGCTTTAATCTGTATCAGGCCCACCTTTTGTGACTGAAAAAGTTGACAGTACAGGTGCAGAAAAGGGACTCAGTTGTCTACCTGTTTGTTTTCTACTCTGAAGGTCGGTCAGAGGTTCACATTATCGGCATGTCATTTTGTTAATGAGTGAATTGTTATAAAGATCCCTGGAGATAATCACTGGAGCTATGAAGTCTGCGCATTGTGTGATGATCTCAGAAGGCACCTGTCTGTCATGTAGACAGAGGTCAGCATTATGGGACCACACCCTAGGAAATCAAGTTGATACTCCTCAAGACAAACGGCCGAAAACCAGCTGGCCACTGACACTGAACAATAATATGTTTCCAGCTGGGTTTGACTGATGCACATTCCCCGTTTCTGGACCAGGAGTCCACAAGTTCTGTTGCCCAGCTTCTGACGTGAGGGCTTGATGCAGCACTGTGAGCTATGAATTTAATGTGAATTTTTTATCTGTTGTGCCTGTGGCATGTTGTTGACTGCACTAAAATTACAGATGGCCAACAAGTCCAGAATAGCGAGTACTTTTGCAGGTGGAATGCCGGCTTTCATAACTGGTCATTTGTGTTGTTAGTTTGACATATCTGAGAGCTGCCTTATGCATTTGTGTGTGTGTGTGCAAACTCTAATATGTTGCTGGGACTGACAAGTTTTTCAATAGTTTTCAAACGGTACAGTAAAGGACAATTGGAGTTTTTTTCACTGACAGGAAAGCAGCAGTTCTGGGATGACCCGTCTGTGATGTGATGTTGGAATCTCACCAAACCTTCAACCTTCATCTAAACATCTAAACCCTCACCTTTATCTTTAAACTTCAAGTATGCAGTTTATTCAAATAAACGACAAACTGTAAAAAATATATACATAACATGGTTGAGGAAGAAACGAAGATACAAACGACAAAATCCATACTAACAAAAACTAACAACACGAACCGTCGAAAGTGATAAAAAACAAACACAAAAGAAAACACATTGATTTAAACATGACAAAGAACAATCAACAATACTGCAACTAACCAAGTCCTTTTTGTGTCGAAGAACAACACGAGATAGACAGACTCTGAGTATTTGTTCTGCAGCTCCAGCACCTCGTCCGGGGGCACGGGGATCGGGACCCCGTTGTGGAAGTAGCCGGTCTTGGGCATCTTGGGGTTGATGATCTGAGGAAGAGGAACATCATTACATCATCATCATCGACAATCAGCCATTGAGTTCCCTGCCAATAAGCACAGGACGCCATGTTTCACCATCAATCACCACACAATCATTAAGATCCAGATCAGGTCTGTGCTGTTGTCTCGCCCTCGTGAATATGGACGAGTTATCCAGAGATGTATCTCTTCCCATCAATGGTCACAATCGCTAACTGTCAAATCTACAAGCACTATCATGTGCCTTGGATCTGCTGACTTCAGTCTCCTTCAGTGAAACCATAATCTATCGAAGCATGCAAAATGAGAAACAATATATAATGCAGATCGCTTAAGGCGATCTCGGGTGTGGAAAATTTCTGTTGTCAAGAACAATTTATTTATCGCCTGCAATTTTTTTTTTTTTTTTTTTTTGGTCAGAACTCTGATCTAGATAAGAGGGATTTCTGATAAGAAGAGCCATTTTACGGGTCCCCGTTGAGTTCTCCTAATAAGGTTTGCACTGTATACTAAAATTCAGAATAAATAGCTGTGCATGTTTTATAGGCAAAAATAGAGAGGTTCTGCGGACACTGGGAGTGACATGAGAGTTGTTGAAGAAAATTTAAAAAATGAGACAAATAAACTATTGCAGCTATTTTAAAACGAAATGACATGTTATAAAAAGCATTCTCGGACTGAGGAAAGGGAGAGGGTGAGAAGAGAGTAAAAGGTCTACAGCGATATAACTGGGAGGACAACATGAAGAGATGGGCGAAGAACAGCCTGGGAGAGTGTGCTTCAAGACAGAGCGTGTGAACTGAACTGTGGATATGTTGATTTGATCAAGAACCCTTGGTTGACTGTGGAACATGAGAACAAGTGAGGTAGTCGGACCTGCACACTCCAACAAACTGAGTGGATATGTCCATTCCCTTGTGACTAAAATGAGATATGGACTTCAACATCTTCGTCCTTGTGTGGTGCAGACAACTGAGCCGGTAACTAAGTTTGTAGTGACGTTGATGTTTACGTAATCAAATTAGTCCAATCACTGCCACTTGCTCACCCGCTGCGCCCAACTATTTGAAGACATATTCTCCGCTTTATCAGCAGACGTTTGTCTCTTTGTCTTTGACCTTGGCGCGTGCGTGTGAGCGGGATTTTTCCTGTAGTCTGTGATTGTGTACTTCTTGTGAGTGGAATCTCTCTGTGTGTTGGTGTGTGTGTGTGTGTGCGCGCGCGCGCGTGAGACTGCCTCTTTACCTCTATAATCGGAGGTATATCTGTATTATGTCTATGTATTAAGTGTGACAAATAGCTATAGAAATATTCTCAGAAAACCACGGATAAAGAAGAAAATAAATACTGACAGCCTAAAAAATCTGAACATCAAGGAAGATTGGCAAGTAAACAGCATCTTGTCTCGGAAGATGAAATATTATGGCCATACCAAGCGCCATGGCATATCAGTGACTTGTTGGGTGTGAAAGTGCACGAGGTTGGACAGCTGGCCCAAGTTTGTTTCGGGGAGGCCTTGATGAGAGCGATGTTCTGCAAAAGACCAGCTACATGATGATTATGTCTGTGTCTTTTACAGTCTCCTTTTTTGTGTCACTCATCACTCACGTCGCCCCCCCCCCCCCCCCCCCCCCTCCCCCCCCCCCCCCCCCCCCCCCCCCCCCCGTGTGACAGTTGATATTTGTCTAGCTGCACTGATACAAGATAGGTGAAGAGAACATGTTTGAAATTCTAGCCAGGAGAACAATTTGATAACAAATTATTAGTTTTACGATATCAGCATGGCAGCGACTGTCCTCGGGACATAAAGAGATCGATATTCACACGCGAGTGGGTCAGAGTATAGTGTGTGTGTGTCTGTGTGTGTGTAAGTGGCCAGGATATAGTGTGTGTTTGTGTCTGTGTGTGTAAGTGGCCAGGATATAGTGTGTGTGTGTTTGCGTGCGTGTGTGTGTGTGCGATACTTTTTATTCTTCGCACTGACCAGATGTCAACTCCGGTGGAAAGTTCTGGTTGATCGTCCACTTCTGGACTTTAGTCTTGTTACAGAACATACGCTTTACAGATCTGGCTTAAATATTTAGATGCATTCCGACTTCGAAAACAGCCCCTAACTAGATGACTCCTACGACATGCTTAGCGAGGCAGTGAATCTATTCTCTCTCCCAGCCTCCTCCGCAATGGAACCCACGTGTGGATACCGGTTATTGCAACCAGAGGTGTCACCACCGACCCCAACTCCTAAAAAAACACTGTCAGGGGGATTGTTTAAAATCGCCGTGAGGCTTGTGTCGCCTCCGGTAGAATGTAAACCACCTGGTGGTTACGCCGCTGGGACCCGCCCCAACAGGAACACGGCGCTCAGAATATGCAGGATTCCAGCAAAATGCCAAAAAATGCCAAAAACACACGTTTCGGCGCTGACCTTGTGGCGAGCTAAAAGTGCAGCCGGTCCGACAATGAAACTGTGGCCTGGTTTCTCACCGTTCGTGCAGAGAGAGAGAGAGAGAGAGAGAGAGAGAGAGAGAGAGAGAGGGTGTGTGGGGGGTTTGGGGTGACATAGATAGGGAGAGAGAGAGGGAGAGGGAGGGTGTGTGGGGGGGTTTGGGGTGACATAGATAGGGAGAGAGAGAGAGGGCGAGGAGGGGTGTGGGTGTGTGGGGGGGGGGGGGTTTGGGGTGACATAGATAGGGAGAGAGAGAGAGAGAGAGAGAGAGAGGGTGTGTGGGGGGTTTGGGGTGACATAGATAGGGAGAGAGAGAGAGAGGGTGTGTGGGGGGTTTTTGGGGTGACATAGATAGGGAGAGAGAGAGGGTGTGTGGGGGGTTTGCGGTGACACAGATAGGGATAGAGAGAGAAAGGGATGTGTGGGGGGTTTGGGGTGACATAGATAGGGATAGAGAGAGAGAGGGTGTGTGGGGGGAGAGGGGGGGTTGGGGTGACATAGATAGGGAGAGAGAGAGAGAGGGTGTGTGGGGGGTTTGGGGTGACATAGATAGGGAGAGAGAGAGAGAGGGAGAGAGAGAGGGGGTATGGGGTGACATAGAGAGGGAGAGAGAGAGGGGGAGGTGTGGGGGGGGGGGTTTAGGGTGACATAGATAGGGATATATATATATATATATATATATATATATATATAGAGAGAGAGAGAGAGAAAAGAGAGATAGAAAGAAAGAAAAGAGAGAGACAGCAAACGAACGAACGAACTTTATCTCCAAAGGTTTACACGCAGACATGTCTGCCATTCGGCACTTTCAAACTCTCACCTTGTACCCGGCCTCTGTATTTTATTTTATACAAATGCCCAGTAAGAATGTGAATTACAAATACACAAACAAGGACAGCAAAACCTACAAACATAAAAAGTACAGGACCCCTTTCCACGTCTTCTAGCGTATTGGGCCTACATAGATATATCTGTATTTTGTAGACTAATCGACACTTGCTGGGTGATGTGGTCAGCCTCACACCGGCCGCCTTTACTTCCCAGGACTCCACCTCGTACCCAAACAAGGCTGGGTCGACCTGGGAGTTCAAGCGTCTAGCTACTACAGCACGGCAGCTCCCCATACATTCAAACAGACATACCAGAATATACAAGTGGCAAACACAACATATAGACATGACCACACTTACACGTACAAAACCGCACATACAGACACAACATACAAATAAACAAAACATACACATAGGAAACACACAGACACACATATACATGCACATACAGATACAACATACACAGAAACAAAACAGACAACACACAGAGACATTACCTTGCACATACAGGCACAACATACACAGAAACAAAACATACACAGACGCAACACACATTTACATGCACATACACAGAAACAAAACAGACACAACACACACTCACACATTTACATGCACAGACAGACACAACATACACAGACAGATCACACAGACGCACACTTTTACGCACAAACAAACACTCCATGCACCAAAACAAACATATCTAAGACACAACAGATACCACACATGGAAAAAAAAAAGGTGGAACAGCCCAGAGACAGACAGTCGGAGAGAGAAAGCAGAAGCAAATGACGTCAGCTGTAGACCAACAATAACTAATGAGCCAGAAACACAGATTGGGCCGGCTTTCCCAGCCTACGGGGCACAGCAACCAGCCATTTTTGAGACACAACAACAACTCACAGACAGCCCTGGCATACAACAACAACAACAGAGCCAGCTCCGCCACGTGTGTTCTTCTCAAGGTATTTGGAGAAAGAACAAACCCAAAAAAAAAGGGGGGGGGGAGGAGGGTTTGTCCTGGGTACGTACAATTTGCATGTAACAAACACATGTAGCAAATAGCTTGAACAGACAAGCAGTGCCGTGAACTTTTTGTGTGTGTGTGTAAAAGAGACAAAAACAGGTTAACACAAAACACGTGCAAGCAAACATGTTTTGCTACATAACGAGTCAGTGTCTGCGGCTTAGGAATTATGGACACAATTTCATAATTCCGACATATCAAGTATGTGTCAGAAAATAGCTCCGCTTCTCGTTGCTCCGTGTGTTATAGTATTCGTCAGCCCATAATTTGAACCACGTATAAGTTTCATAAGTTTGTTCTAGGCTGCATCAACCCATGAGGTTGCAGCGTATTCCATGAAAGTCTCCAGTGTCGACTAGACTTGGTGTCTTTGTACTGGCTCCACAGCAGGCTATATCCAATTTTTTTTTTTGCACTATAGCGAGTCATTATATGCGTTTTGATCTGAATTCCTTTTCCTGGATTTGCCTTCCAGGTGAGCCTAGTGTACCCACATTCCCACCCCACCTCCATGCGGGTAGACCCGTATTAGTTGATCTTCTACAATTAATAAGATTATTACTTTGTGTGGATGGCAGCAAAATTTGCACTGACTCTGAAGCGAACAGGAGGTTGTAGTATTTTCAATGGCCGTCTAAACAGCAAAACTATCGACGAGCATTGGTTCTATATAGATCTCGTTCAGGCAGACTGCTGGAGACTTGCTAGT